TGGGTATTCAGCCCAGATATAGCTGGAACGGGGCCATGGTGGTGAAAGCAGGAGACATTCTATTTGGATCACTTCTGTTTTCTTAAGAAAACTGAAGAATGAGCATAGGAGAGGTATAGGTTAGAAGAAATAAGAGAAGGTGTGAAAACAAGTTATCTAGGAGAGTGCACATTATCCAGACAGGTTATCTAGAGAGGGTGAATGTTCCAGGGAAATGTGTAGTTGATAGACAGAATAAAAGGTCCACTTGGGGTTGAGGTCATGCATTTAGAGTAAGCCCAGTGTTTTGCTTGAGTGTTTTTCTGCAGCTATGGTATGCTGAGTGGGTTTAGCTTAGGAGCTGAGAGTTAAGCAAGGGAATAATTATAATGACTGATCATGAAATTCAAGCCAGGTAAGGAGAATATTCAGAAATGGTGTAGGGTCAAAAGGACTGTGCGAAGGAATTAGCTGCAAAGATTGGAAACGTTGAGTGAGTCTAAGATTACGGCCACGATGTGGTACGACAAAGTTTTGAGCAAGTCTATGGGAGCTGAGCAGCTGTTAAGGGGAGAGGACATGATTATTGGAGGAGGGCAGGTCAAGGAACCATGAAGCCTGGCTACTGGAAGATCTTCCACTTGCATATTGAAATAGGAGTTGTTTCAGAGAATGACAGTGAGTCACAGATAAAAATCTTCAAAAAATGAGGGGGAAGGACCCTGGAGTTCATAATGATTGCATTATGGAGGAGTGGAATAAGGTGTCATCTGATGACCTAAGACTAAACCTGGGAGGAGGGGTATGGAGGAAGGGGAGAAATGGTTTGGAAGTAGCCAAAAGGAGAAAAGAGAACATCCACTCCCTACACCCCCCAAGCCCCCATCCATCCTGCACCAGGCCCAGAGGCAGTGAGAGGCCTGTGCCCAAACACACTAGAGAGCTGCAGGGAGTAGTGTCCTCCCACAGAGCAGGGTTTCTGCCATAGTAGGGAGGTGAAGGGAGCATTTAGAGATGAGAGAGGAGAAGGAATTTGCTTAGGGCAACTAAGTTTAGCAATACCAAACATCAAAACATAAAGGTCCAACTACAAAATTATCTATAATCACTGGGCTTTCTGAGCCAAAATATGCTTGATATCTAACCTGTAACAAAGTCACAACTCCTATTTTCCAAACAAATTATGTTGAACATAACAGTCTCTAGGGATATCTACAAACCCTGCTGATAAAGACCTGTGAGCTATGGCAGAGGATGATGATCCAGAGTCATCTCCGAGGTGGAGCCGAAGGAAACACTGGGGGACAGGAGGAGACCAGAGGGGAGAACACCTCTCAAGGGCTTGTTGGAGGGGTGGGCAAGGGGTGAGCATGCCAGTAAAGGAGGCAGGAAAAGAGGACTGAAAACATGAATACTTCACTTAGATGCAAGTTACATTTGAGGTACCTGCAGGCTAACAAACTGGAATGTCCAGGAGCCAGGGCGAAAGGAGAACTCAGGAGAGCAGTGAGGCTGGAAAGAGAGAGCTTGGAGTCTGTGGAAGCCGGAGCCAATGAGTGGGTGACGTGCAGAGTAGCCTCCTCCGTCTTGGGCCCCAGAGCTGATGCCATAGCAGCTCCCCTGGCAGTGGCCAGCCCATGCTAGTAGCTGCTGAAATGGAGGGTGTTGTGCTGAGCCACATTGATCCTGAGGCAAAAGGAAAAATCAGTAATACTGATCCTGCCCGTAATGTTGAATTAGTATCTCCCAAACATTCCTGTCCACCCAGAGCCTCGGAAATGTGAACTTATTTGGAGATAGAGTTTTACACATGCAATTAATTAAGCTGAGATCATACTGGATTAGGGTGGGCCCTATATCCAATGATCGGTGTCCTTACACGAAGAGGAGAGACAAGGAGACGCACAAGGAAGAAGGCCATGTGAGCATGGAGGCAGAGCCTGGAATGACGCAGCTACAAGGCAGGAACATCCAAGATGGCAGCAGGCACCAGAACCAGGGGCGCGGTGTGAGGTTTCTCCGAGAGCCTCTCGCCTCCAAAACTGGGAGACTATACATTCCTGTTGTTTTTAGTCATCTAGTTGATGGCGCTTCGTTACAGCAGTCCTAGGAAACAAATCTCTGCCTTTATTTAAAATTTTGATGTTTCATTATGTATTGTTTCACATTAATTTTTATTTTTTTAAAGACTGCACTAAAATAGTTGTCCTGAGTACGGAGCGTTTTGGCACCCCCTAAAATTTTGCAGCTGTAGCTAGTGCCTCAGTTGCTTTACCCTAATCCAGGTCCAGGGGCATGATTTAAATACTTTCATTGAGGCACTCACAGACAAGCTTCTGCTTAGTATTTGCAGAGACATATAGGTATATCTAAAGAACAAACAGTAAAAGCAAGCAAGATAGCATGATTTCTAAACAAAAGTGTTGATTTCTTCAATGAGGGATGATTTCACTGCAGAAATACATCCCATTTCTTGGAAAGGACACAGATATTGGCAAGCCTTATTTCAAAACAGTAGGCACACTCTGATCATTCCATCTGCTCCCCTTGAGAAAGAAAAACATCACATGGTGGTTTCAGTGGCCTTATATCCCATGTAGGGCATTTTCTAAGTATGTTGTATTCACTTTGAGAAAATACCTAAAGGAAAAATCTTTTCAAGTTGGATATGTGTATGAGAGAGTTGGATATAGAGTAAGAGTTTTAGAACATGACCCCAAGTCTTTCAACACTCCTCTCATGGAGAGGTTGGGGAGACAGGATACCTGTGGGCATACTTCTTGACTATGGGCAGCTTTATAACTCCTTCAACCAATAGACTTCAGTGGACCAAATAGTAAGGCTGGGTCATAAAAGGCAACGTAGCACCGGTCTATGCACTAGGACACTCTAGCTTGGAGCCCTGAGCTGCCACTGGAAGGTGTAACTACCCTGAGACCAGTAGCTATTCGGAAGCCAAACCATGTAGAAAAGCCAAGTGCAGGTGTCAGCCACCCTAGTTTTGACCAGCCCAGCCCAAGGGATGAGACTGAGACATCAAGGAGGAGAGATTAACCATCCCTGCTCTGCCCGTCTGAATCCCTGACCCATAGAATCTGTTAACATAATAAAATAATTGTTTCAAGATGCTAAATTTAGGTCAATTTATTATGTAGCAGTAGGAACTGCAATAAACTATGAGGGTCAAAGATCTATTAATGTGAATGAATAAATTAATTACTCAAAAATATTCCAATCATCTACAGAATGAAAGTTTACAATAATTTGGAATAAACGTTTTCTAATAGCGTGAAGTAATCTTTGCACATGAATACTGTCCCACTTGATATTGTCTTTTATAGCTTCAGCCCTGGCTGGTGTGGCTCAGTTGGCTGGACATTGTCCCATGCACCAAAATGTTGCTGGTTCAATTCCTGGTCAGGGCACAGGCCTGGGTTGCAGGCTCAATCTCTGGTAGGGGAAAGGCAGGAAGAAGCCAATCAATGTTTTGCTCTGTCATCAATATTTCTCTCTCTCTCCCTCTCCTCTTCTCTCTAAAAATCCATTTAAAAAATAAATTATTATAGCTGTGGCTGGTTTGGCTCAGCGGTTAGAGGATCGGCCTGTGAACCACAGAGTCCCAGGTTCAGTTCCCACTAAGGGCACGTGCCTCGGCTGCAGTTTGTCCCCGGCCGAGGTTGGGGTTGTGTGGGTGGCAGCCACTTGTGTCTCTCTCACGTCGATGTTTCTCTCTCTCCCCCTTCTTCTCTCCCTCCTGCTCTATCTGAATATAAATGCAATAAATAAATAAATAAATAAATAAGTAAATATAGCTTTAGAGCAGTAAAACATATAGAGGCTGTTAATTAACTAGCCCTGTTAATGCTTTGTTCAAATTGCTTATTAGTGAGAGCCTCTATTGTTGTAAGATAGAAGAATTAAAGTTAGTAAACAGCCCTGGCTGGTTTGGCTCAGCAGTTAGAGCGTAGGCCTGAAGAACAATGAGTCTCGGGTTCGATTCCAGTCAAGGGCATGTAACTCAGTTGTGATTTGGCCCGGCCTCATTGGGGTCATGTGGGAGGCAACCACTCAATGTGTCCCTCTCACGTCGATATTTCTCTATCTCTCTCCCCCTCCCCCCACTCTATCTGAACAAAAATGGAAAAATATCCTTTGGTGAGGATTAAAAAAATATTTTTTTAAGTTAGTAAACATTGCTCTTTGAGGCTCCATTTCAAACTTCATCCCATGAATGCAGGTGATTTTAGAGAGAAAGGAAGGGAGAGGGAGAGATAGAAACATCGATGAGAGAGAGTATCTATTGGTCGCTTCCTGTATGCCCCCCATTGGGGACTGGGCCCACAACCTGGGCATGTGTCCTGATCGGGAATCGAACCAGTGACCTCTTGGTGCATGGGTCGATGCTCAACCACTGAGCCACACCAGCTGGGCAAATGTATTTTGAAGCTTCCCAGTTAGAGAATTGATTAGCACAACTTTTCTGGTGATGACATTATTTCATGCTGATATTTTAAAGACTAACAAAATCAGTATTTTTGTTTGTATTTTAAAGCCACTAAAGTAAAACTAACTCCCATACTGCTTGTGTTTTTTGTTTTGTTTTGTTTTATCCTCACCCGAGGATATTTTTCCATTTATCTTTAGATAGAGTCGAGGAGAGAGAGAGAAACATCAACATGAGAGAGACCCATCGACTGGCTGCCCACTGCATGACCCCAACCAGGGCCGGGGATGAACCGCACTGAGGTATGTGCCCTTGGTCAGACTCAAACCCGTGACTCTTTGGTCCGCTGGCCGACGCTCTAACCACTGCTCAGGGCACAATGCTTGTTTTTGTTTTGTTTTTGTTTGCCCTCAAAGTACTGAACATAGTAAGAATAATAATAAAATCCTGTAAGTGGACAAAACGCTATTAAACTACACAAGTTTTGTGTTTTACCATCCCAGGATCCAGGTTCCCAATTTTATGGTAAGGTATAAAACATATTTTTTCCTTTTTTTTCCCCTTTCTTTTTTTTTCTGGATGCTTCCTGCATGGTTTGTCTCCTCAGACACTGTCCACAGGACTCTGAGAAGCCGTAGAAATAGCAGACTCAAGGCCTGACTTTCTCTCTAATGAAGTGGAAAGAACTACACATCATTAAGCAGAACACTGTGCTGCCCCTACACCACCCGGACGGCCCCTGGGAGCGTGACCTCCCAGGGTATCCACATTGGAGTAAGATACAAAATATAAAAGTTAAAGAATCACTACCCCCAGAGGGTAGAATATTTTGGAAAAACAAAAAAGAATAACTGCCTCTGTGAATTACAGACTTCAAGGTAGACTTATAACATTACATAAACATTATGGGAGCTATTTATCCTAACATCAATGTTTGGATTGAAGATCATAGAGTGTATCTTTTTTTTTCTGTTTTTACTTCCCAGCTACATTTTTTTTTTCTTTTTTCTCAGCTTTATTGAGATATAATTGACATATAACATTGTGTAAGTTTAAAGTGCCCAATGTGATTGGACACACATGTATTGCAAATTGTTTACCACATCCCTCACATAATTACCATTTTATTGTTGTTATGTTGAGAACATCTAAGATTTCTCTTATTGGGAAAACTGGATAATCATATGCAAAAACTTAAATCTTAAACAGGCACCTCTCACAGACACCAGAGAGGTGTTATGGACAGCCCCATGAGTCTCAGGGAGAGGACTGTCCCCAATCTCAATTCTTGTCTTCTCCAGTAAACAAACTTAAATGAGAAAACTCCAGATAATTGTGTTGTGGGGAAAAACAAACAAACAAAAAAAAAACACCTCACAATTTATGAAAGCAATTAAAGCAAGCACATTTTCTTAAAGAAGAAAGCAAATCTGTACATCTGGCGTATGAAGCACAGACGTGCTCTCAACTAATCTGAAGAGCAAGTTGGATGGAGGTCCAAGGTGTTATATATCCTCCAGTCTATAGGTTTCAAAATTCCTCTCTGAATATTGTGGTACAGATGAATTCTTAAGGTCCATTTTTAGTTTGTTGTGGCATTCCCGTAATTCATGAGAAGCACCTGGCAATTTTATCTTGTCAAGCCTTGAGACTGCTGGCTTTTCTGCTTAGGAAATAAAAAATAAAACTGCCTCTTTCCCTTTCCCCTTCCCTAAAATGGCTGATTTCTTTGTTTGGTGGGTGAGAAAGACCCCCCTCCTGCCCCCTTCTCTTCCCTTTTCCTGCATTCTCTCCTTAGGGAGGCGTTTAACCATTTGCTCTCAAGTGTCCTTGGCTGGGGAAGATACTAGCTTGTTATTTGCAGGCCAGCTGCAAATTGCGCACACTGTTTGGCCTTGTTTTAACTTTCCTGTCTCAGTTTCCCTACTCCTCCTGCCCTGAATTTTTCCTAGCTTCTTATTTCCCTGTAACACACTCACAGAAATAAACTGGAAATGGGTTAAATACTTAAACATAATACCTGAAACTATATGACTCCTAGAAAAAAAAAAAAATGGACAAAAGCTCCTTGACATTGGTCTTGGCAGCAATTTTCTGGATGTGACACTGAAAACACGGGTGACAATAGCAAAAATCAGTAAGTGGAACTACATCGAACTAAAAAGCTTCTGCACAGCAAATAATCAACAAGATTAAAAGGCAATCCATGGAATGGGAGAAAATGTTTACAAATCATGTATCTGATAAGAGGTTAACTTTCAAAATATATAAAGAATTTCTAGCACTGGCTGGTTGCTCAGTGGTTAGAGCATCAGCCTGTGAACCAGAGAGTCCCGGGTTCGGTTCCTGCTAAGGGCACGGACCTCAGTTGCAGTTTGTCCCCGGCCCTGGTTGGGGTTGTGTGGGTGGCAACCACTCAATGTGTCTCTCTTACTTCGATGTTTCTCTCTCTCTCTCTCTCTCTCTCTCTCTCTCTCTCTCTCTCTCTTTCCCTCTCTCCCTCCCGCTCTATTTGAAGATTAATGCAAAAATGTCTTTGGGTGAGAATAAAAAAAAAAGAAGTTCTACCACTCAGTGGGGTGAAAAAGAGGGTTAAAGAAATGAGCAGGGGAACTGAATAGATATTTTGCCAAACAGGTCATACAAATGGCCTACAGGCACATGTAAAGGTGTTTCACATCACTAATCAACATGAAATGTAAATCAAAACCACAATAAAATATCACCTCATACCTATTAGAATGGAGATCATCAAAAAGATAAGAAAATAAGTGTTTGTGGGAGTGTGGATAAAAGCAAACACTTATGCACTATTTGTGGGAATGCAAACTGACACAGCTATTATGGACAACAGTAGGGAGGTTCCTCAAAAAGTTACCAGCAATCTCAGTCTGGGGTATATATCCAAAGCAACTGAAATCAGGATCTCATAGAGATATCTGCACTCCCATGTTCTTTGTAGCGTTATTCATCATAGCCAAGACATGGAAACAACCTAAGTGTCCATCAAAGGGTGAACAGATAAAGAAGATGTGATATATACATCCATACCAACAAAAAGAGGCAGGGGGTGGGGCGGTTCTGCAGTCTGTGACAACTTGGATGAACCTTGAGGGCATTATACTAAGTGAAATAAATCAGATAAAGAAAGACAATACTCTATGATCTCACTTATATGTGAAATCTAAAGTCCCCAAACTCAGAGAAATAGAAAGTAGACTGGAGGTTACCAGGGATTGGGGGGTGGAGGAAATGGGGAAATATTAATCAAAGGTATAAACTTCCAGATATATGATTAACAAGTTCTGGGAATCTAATGTACAGTGTGGTGATTATAACTAATAATACTGTATTATATACTTGAATATTGCTAAGAGAGTATATCTTAAATATTCTCCCCACAAAAAAGAAATGGTAATTATGTGACAAGTTGGAGGTGGTAGCTAACGCTATGGTGGTAATATTGTTATCTATAGTCACCATGCTGTACATTAGATCCCAGAATTTACCCCTCTTATAAGTAAGTTTGTACCGTTTGACCAACATCCCACCCCCTAGCCCCTGTAATTACCATTCTACTGTCTGTTCCTATGAGTTTGGTTGTTTTTAAATTTCCACATGTCAGATCATAAAGTATTTGTCTTTATCTGACTTATTTCACTTAGCATAACACTCTCAAGGTCCCAAGTATTTTTAAATTATGGAATGCGAAATAGTGTATCTTCTTTCAATATTGAGAACTAAAACATAAACCAAACTTCAAGAGTGCCTTCAAATGCTTTAGCAAAATACAAATTATATTTCCAATCAATTTCTGCAAGTTACTGTTGACCAAGCAGAATAAGAAGCACGAAAGAGATGAAGTGGTAATAAGAGAGCACACTCCAGTCAGTTGGTATCAGTACATTTTAGTGAATTCTATTCTTCATTTTAAATTAGACATTAATTCCTTATTACTAGACATGTTCACCCAGAGACTGGGGAATTGGAAATAGCAGCAGAGACTCTGCTTCCGTGGAGGTTTATATCAGGCAAGTGACTCTCCGTGCTTCATGTTCCCAAAGTGTAGCAAGAATAACACCCACTGGCAGAACTGAAAACAAGTGCCACCACACTGAGAAGCATACAGAGTGGCCATACAATTTGGAAACACCGATATTTGTTATTTCACGGATAGAATCCCTGTAATACTTCTGGGGCAATTAGAGCTCTAGGTTTATTCTGGGAAACACCAAAATCATCTGAGGAAATGCCCCCAGAGGCATGTGCAGGGACTGATTGGAAATGATGTGTTTCTTGATTTGTGTAGAACCTACAATTATGTTGTTATTTCGCATTGAGTTTTGCTTAATTTAGAGTTTATACAGATTGTTTTTCCCGTTTCTGATTCTAAACAGCTCACCACACACTCTCTCCTACCTCTCCCTATCTCTTCTTCACTATTCACTCACACACGCACTCACACACACACACACACACACACACACCTACTTTCACTGAGCAGCTGTGGAAGCAGAAGACAGCTTTTATGAGAGGAAATTGCATACCTATCTAGATGAACCCCCCTAAAAATATTACCCCTTAAAACAAACAAACAAAAAGTAACCATTATGAAAAAAACTTTAAAAATCATTCTGTTCTATTTCCTTTTATGGTCATTTATGGGAGAGATTTGAAAGAAATGAAGTTTCAAAAGGCGGGTTCAAGTATCAAGAAAACACGAAGTTAAACAGAGAAAGCAGAGGGGGAGGGCAACAAGAGGTGAACTCAGGAAGAGAACCCATATCATGGACATGGCGGGGTGGGGGGGTGGGGGGGGGTGGGGGAGGAAGGCAAGAAAGGAGGCCATACATGCCCAGCCCCAGCCTGTTCTAAAAACAGCCTCGGTCAGGCTGGCGGGAGTACTGGCTGGGGAAAGCAGTGGCCTGAATTCCACCCTTCTTGGGCAAGTCACAGCAATCCTTGGGCTTATTTCATTATCTGTAAAATGTAAACAAAACTTTCACCCTTTGTTTTATTTTGTTTTTTTTCTCTATTAATTTTAGAGAGAGATGAAGGGAGAGGGAGAGATAGAAACATCGATGAGAGAGAACACCTACTGGCCTCCTCCTGCATGCCTCCCACCAGGGACCAGGCCCACAACCTAGGCAGGTGCCCTGATGGGGAATTGAACCGGTGACCTCTGGGTGCATGGGTCGACACTCAACCACTGAGCCACACCCGCCAGGCAAAACTTTCACCCTTTCTAAATTTAATTCTTATTTCCTTTCTAATACATTTTGATGTTTATTTGGGCTTTAAATAATTTAAACAACAACAACAATCACTCCTGGCTGGCGAGTTTGGTTCAGTGGTTAGAGCATCAGCCCACAGACTGAAGGGTCTCAGGTTCGATTCCCAGTCAAGGGCACATACCTAGGTTGCAGGTTCGATCTGGTCAGAGTCCTGTGGGATGCAACCAATGGATATGTCTCTCGCATCCTTGTCCACCCCCCTTCTCTCTCCCACTTTCCCTCCCTCTCCTCTCTCCCACTCTGTCTAGAAATCAATTGAAAAATTGATTAACAAAAACATCACTCCTGGAAGCTCTTTAAGTGCTTTCAGTATGCAGCCTTTCAAGATGCCACTCCTGGGTAATTCCAATGAAATCCATATTTAAACTAAAGTAAAATCACATTAATTTAATCAAGACAGAGTGCTGTAGATACTGTTTATCCCTGCCTCCATATACAGCTGCCATTTTACGGATGCCATTCTTCTGATTTACACACTAGGAGAACACATAAAAACAAGCAAAAGCTTCCAAATAAGGTGTTACAAAAGGCCAGGTAACCAATGGTGGTGACTGGAAGGTGGAGCCGGATGCCAGTGCCGCAGGGCCAGGATGACCCTGGGGCCAGGGGGCTCTCCAAAGCCCCTGTTCTGCTCAGATTTCCAGAGCCTTCCCAATGAATACCATGTTGCTTCTGAACATCCTGCTCAACGGTAAACCAGGGGATGGGAAAACGACGCTAAGCAAAGAACTTGCACCAAGATTGGGGCTGAGATATATTAAGGTGGGTGATTTAACTCGAGAAGGGCAGGTGTATGATGGCTATGATGAAAAGCATGAGTGTCCCATTTTACATGAGGATAGAGTAGTTGATGAGTTAGAAAACCAAATGAGTGAAGGTGGAGTTATTGTTGATTACCACAGTCGTGATTTCTTCCCTGAACGCTGGTTTCATATAGTTTTTGTGCTGAAAACAGGTAACAATGTATTGTACAAAAGACTTGAAACAATGGGTTATAATAAGAAGAAACTGCCCTGGCCGGTTTGGCTCAGCGGTTGGTTAGAGCATCAGCCTGCGGTCCCGAGAGACCCGGGTTCGGTTCCCGCTAAGGGCATGTAACTTGGTTGCAGTTTGTCCCCGGCCCTGGTCGGTCGTGTGGGTGGCAGCCACTCAATGTGTCCCTTTCACATCGATGTTTCTCTCTCTCTCTCTCTCTCTTCCTCTCTCTCCCTCCCACTCTACCTGAACAAAAAATGTCCTCAGGTGAGGATAAAAAAAAAAAAGAAGAAGAAGAAACTTAAAGATAATGTTCAGTGTGAAATTTTTCAAATTATTTATGAAGAAGAATTAGCATCCTACAAGGACAAAATAGTGCATCAGCTACCCAGCAGTTAAACCAGATCTAGAGGATACTATCAATCATATATTAAAGTGGATTGAAAAATGGATCATAGCTCTTGACTTATAAGACTGGCCACTTTATAATCCCTTTTTTTTTAACCTCACCTGAGGATATTTTTACATTTATCTTCAGACAGAAACACATCAATTGGTTGCCACCTGCAGGACCCCAACTGGGGCAGGGGACTAGCCGCAACGGGTACATGCCCTTGGCCGGAATCGAACCTGGGACTCTTTGGTCCGCAGGCTGACCCTCTAACCGCTGGGCCAACCCAGCTAGGGCTCTAATCACTCTTAACATTTCTCTGCCCATATCATGCAAATTGTCCAATATCAGTAACTTTATATATATATTAAAATTGTGCCACAAAACTAGTAGGTGGATAGTACAAAGGTTTATGTTTGGGTTGTTTTGTTTTTTCTTTTCCCATAAGAAAGCTAAACAATATCAAGTATAATAAATATAATGTTAAAGATTGAGAATAAAAACTGTCATCGTTTAACGCTTCAATTGCTAAATAATAAATCTAACCAAATGTGTAGATGGATATCTTTTAAGTTTATTACAGAAGAAAATGAACATTATCTCTTAAAATTAAAGTCTAAAGATTTTTTAAAAAGCTTCCAAATAATACTGAGTTAATGACATATTTTGTAGTGTACTTTTAAAAGAACTCCCAGCTTGGAAGGAAATGAGCTGGGGGAGGGTTGCCCTCGTTTTCACCCTTATTAGGAAATGGGCACAGTGCAAAGCCTCTTGAAGTGTTAGGAAACTACAAAAGGCGTTTCCTTTACAAAAGCGGTGCAGACGGGGAAGGAACTGGCAACTTCCCCTTCCAGCCCGCCCACAAGCTGTATCAGAGCGGGACTAAGTGGGAGGATTCTGTTGTGATGTCACAAGAGGCCGGCGCCGCGGGGCAAAGGGCGCGGACCCAGAACGTCACAGCGGACAGAGGGCCGACAAGTTAGATCCGGCAGCTGGCGGAGGGAGCCGCTCGACCGCAGCCACGCAAAGGAAGAGAGCACTGCGCGTGCGCCGGCGGCCTTGACTGACAGTCCTTCCGGCTTGTGAGCGGCTCTTCCCGGCAGCCCGCGCGGCCTGGTAGGCCGGAGGCTTCCTAGAAATGACGAAGTGGCTGTGTCCCTCCCCCTTGGCCGTTGCGAAATCATTTCACCCTCGGGAGCCCTGGGCGCCCTAGCCGGGCCTGGCACGAGTTCTCGGGCAGAGCCGAGCGTCACTGCTCCGGGCCGAGGCTCGTGCGGCTGAGCGGGGCAGCCAGGCCTGGGGAGTACGCTCAGGTCACTATGAGGGGTGTGGGCGCCGGGCTGTCGCCGAGGTCATGGAAAGGGGGGGACTTCCCACCTGACCAGCCCCGTCGGTCCCTCTCCCCACCCTGTGTCCTGCCGGCCAGCCGGCCTCTAAATCTGCGATGGCCCTTCAGCGGCTTGTGGCGACTGAGTTATCGCCCGAGTCTTTACGTAAAAAGGGTAAATGTCATAATACCTGTTTGGTTAAATCACACAGAGCAAGCAGAATGATAATGAGGTGACTTACCGAGAAGGTGCGGGACGAGCAAAATGCAACTGACATCGTCGCTTTCGCGTTTAAAAATAGTTTTTGAAACAAGGGGGTAGAATCGAGCGTCTCCAGCTTTTGTCTTCCCTGCAGCCACTTATTTCTCCCTGATTTTGCTCCACCCTAGGAAGAAACCAAGTTGAGATTTCAGTGTCTGTAGATCAAAAGAAATCACGATTCACCAAAACAACGCCTACATAGCTCACCTCCAGATGCAGCTTTTAAGTTTCAAGCTGTGGTCCCGCTAGGACTCAGTAAAGGAATATGAACTAGTGAGTGAACGTATATGTAAGACTATTTTTATTTTTCTATTCTGAAAATTAGGTATACACTAGATATTCTTAAATCTAAAGACAGAACAACTAGTAATCTAGCGGACATCTCACACTGATCCCTGCTGCTCACCTCAAGAAGTAACGATTGTTTTTGAGGCCCCTGTGATAAATATGAAAACACGGTTCACTAGAAAGGAATTATGTATCAACTGCAATTAGTTGCCCTTAAGAAGAAAGAGTGAGATGACCTCTGGAATGCTTCTGCATTTGTGAATAGAAAAATCGTGTGCTGTGTAGTTTTCAGGAGTGGCAGATGAGTAATATCCGGCTATGTAGTGTGTGTGTGACACTCACTGTGAGGACACCTTTCCCTGACACAAAAGTAGACTGTGTCTCCAGTGGGTTTAATGTCATAATGTGCACAATTTAAATCAAATCAAGTTTCCTCTAAAGCACCTTAGGGTGGGGCTGGAGAAAGTTTGTTCTTTTAGTTACATGGTAAAATATCATGGATTGTTTTCACTAATAACAAATTTACACCTGTCCTGGAGAACCAGTATTGCAGTAGAGCCTTTGGATGCTGTCACCGAAGGAATATTGACTGGGCATCAGAAGAAGAGTTCTAATCTCATTCCTGCCTCTCTAAGATCCTAGTCATTTTATATCTCTGAACTGTCCTTCCCTCACATTTAATGTGGTTTTCAGCTCTCTTGAATTCTCTTGTATGTTGCCCTTTGTTTTTAGCATTTGATGTACTGTTTGCTGGTCAGTCTTCACCACTTTAGTGTATTTTTTCCTTCTCAGACATTTCTTTCTAATGAAGTGACCATTACATTTCCTAAGTTCTGAATTGGCCAACAGACCATAGAAAGACATTTCTTTCGGCTTCTACCACTTTGGTCTTAACACCTAGCATAACAGTGTCTAGTGGGTACTCACTAGGCGGGTGGGGAACGTCTGGCCCGAGGGCGGTATAAGGCTCTCAAAATCAATACGAGCTAGAATCACAAGCCTCACCAAATTAGCCTGACCATATATAGCAGGCTAATTTTTAAGCTGATAATTTTGTATGGCCCCGAATGATGTTATAAATATCCAAATGGCCCTTGGCAGAAAAAAGGTTCCCCACCCCTACAGAGGTTTGAAATAATTCCTTCCATCTCCACAAAGTTTCATTATGATTTTTCTTCTTTGAAACAGTGTGTGTAAATCTGTTAAGAATGCTATTTATTGTCAAACAATCATCTCACAGATTATTAATTATGAAGGTGTAAAGGACCTTTAAATGGATATATATGGTGGGCCCCACAGTAACCAAATAATCAAAATTAACCAAAAATTGGATAATAATTGGACATCATTGCCCTTTGATGTGAAGCTTGGAGAAGCATACATCATTCCTGGAAAAGTGTTTAACCTGAATCTAATCATAATGTCACAATCAGACAAATCTAAATTGAGAAACATGTTGCAAAACAGTTGGCCAGAAATTATGAAAAATATCATAAAAGTAAAAACCCTAGGGGATTGTTCTAGATTAAAGAGACATGATAGCCCTGGATGGTTTGGCTCAGTGGTTAAAGTGTCAAAGATCTTGGGTTTGATTCCCAGTCAAGGACACGTACCTGGGATGCAGGTTTGATTCCCTAGCCCCGGTTGGGGTAGTTCAGGAGGCAACCAATCCATGTATGTGTCTCTCTCACATATCTCTCTCTCTCTCTCTTCCTCCCTCTCTCCCTCCTCCTTTCCACTCTAAAAATCAAAGGAAAAATGTCCTCAGGTGAGAATTAACAAAAAAATAATAAATAATAAAATAAAATGAAGAGACATAACTCTCTGCAGGGAACTTGATGCAAGGCTTCTTTATTTTATTTGCATTTATCTTCAGATAGAGTGGGAGGGAGGGCGAGGGAGAGAGAGAGAAGAGAAACATCGATGTGAGAGAGACACGTTGACTGGTTGCCACCCATATGACCCCAAATGGGGCTGGGGACAAACTGCAAGCGAGGAACCGAACCTGTGTATCTCTGGTCCGTGGGCCGGCACTCTAACCACTGAGCAAAACCGGCCAGGGCAAGGCTCTTTTATTTTTGTTTTATAATGTTCAAAATGGCAAATGTGATCCTCAGATTCCCGGAGTTACTTCCTGTTCCCGCTGAGAAAACTAATTGTGTAGGGAGCTTCAGAAAAGCTGGTTCTTATTCCCAAAAGTTTCTGCACTGAAAATCTGCTTGCTTTGAATTTTCATTGTAAATGGAAAACAGTACTAAACAGGGTCAGCTACTTTATTGCTCAAAATGAACTTTCAATCCTTTAAAGGAAAATGGGATAATTTTTTTTAAATGTTATGCTCAGGAACCTGCTCGCCTTTCTATTTTTAATTGCCTACCCCCAATCAGAGGGCAACAATAACGAAAATGAAACCACTAGAAAAGCTTGAGGAAGTTAATGTTCTTAATATTAGAGTTTCTGATTTATAGCTCTTGATTTTCTTGCTGAGGTAATCACTGCTTTAAACCCTCCAGAGCTCCTGGGAGCCTCCAGAAATGAGGGCCTGTTCCTCAGCCCTTCATATTCTAGCCCCTGCCCACTTCTACAGCCCACTAGTCCCAAGTGTGTATCCACACACACCCCAATATTCTATTATACCATAATATTCCTTGTGTCTTTCAGTTAAGAGTAAATGAATAAAAAGGAGGTTATTTAGGAAACTTAAAATCCCAGAGACAGAATATAGGTTATGGCTACATGCAGGGACATAAATGAAATCACTGGATTGGGTTTCTGTTGTTGGTCTCTGCTTTACTTCTCTGCCGGCTCCATTCTCTTTTTTTTTATCCTCACCCGAGGACACTTTTCCATTTTTTGTACAGATAGAGTGGGAGGGAGAGGAAGAGAGAGAGAAACATCGACGTGAAGGGACACATCGAGTGGCTGCCACCCGCACGACCAACCAGGGCCGGGGACAAACTGCAACCGAGGTACATGCCCTTAGCGGGAACCGAACCCAGGTCTCTCCGGACCGCAGGCCGATGCTCTAACCGCTGAGCCAAACCGGCCAGGGCTTGCAGGCTCCATTCTCAAACTGGTTCTCTTCTTCCGTGTTAAAAGGGCAGCCTGTAACTCTGAGTTTACATTCTCCTCTCAGCAATCCCACCAGAAACAAGCACTTCTCTCCCCTGCCCTGGCCCAGGTCCAGCAAAAGTCCTGGACTTTATTGCCATTCTGAACTAATCACTGCGAGGAAGTGAAGGGGGATGGAAGATGCTGATTAGTTCATGAGCTGGGGAAGAGGTCAGTCTTTCCCAAACCACCTACACTGAGAATAGAGAAGTTATGGGTCCCCAAAGGAAAATAGAAGGGTGATTGAATACAGGGCAGGCTAAAACAACAGATGTCCACTCTATTTCTCAACACACCCAGCTACCTCATACCCCCCTGCCCTAGTTTGTTTCCTCTTTACCTCAAATGCTCCTCCACATTGATTCTTCTGACAAATGTTTCCATAGCCTTTAGGACCCAGATCACATACCACCTCCTTTTTGCCACCTTGTTTCCTTGTTCATAAGATTAACCATCCTAGGAACCATTTCTGTACCTTGAACCTATTTCTATTATCAGACTGAATTGGAAAATTAAAAAAAAAATTAATTGCAATAGTACAATACATGCTGATTATGAAAAAAAAAATTTTTTTCAAGGAGTAATACCACTCAAAGAGTGGCTTCTAGGCTGGCATACAACTCTGACCTGTTTGTTATGAGCCCTCAGTGAGGTAAGTACAGAGATTGAGAGTAAATATCTAGAAGTTGTTATGGCTATTTGACACTAACTTTATATCTGCTGAATTTAATAATAAGCAATCCAGGCTTATGTTTGCAATGTATTTAAAACTTTTATTAACAATTCACCTTTATTGGATTTGATAAAAGTACTATTCCACACCATGTTGGATATATATAGTGCCCTCCCTTTTATATGAAATTAACCACCTGTATATATTATATAGAGATATGTATATATCTGGAAGGAGAGGCATCATGCTGTTATCTCTGGAGAAGGTAACTGGAAAATTTTGGTGAAAGATTGGGGGCTACAAATAGGTGGGAATGGGGTTTTTACCTTTTTGTGTAGTTCTCTATTGTAAAACTTCTCAAACTAGTTGGTCAATCTCTGATACTAACTATCATAAAGAATGAATCCATCTAAGAACTAGTTTGACTGGATCATTTGCAATCAGCAAACACTGAGTAACTACTGTTTGCTGTCTCCTCTTTGGACTTTAGTGTCCTTGTATGGAAAAGAAGAGAAGAAATTAACTTTAAGCTAGCTCCAAAGCAAACCTGTGGTGCTATTGGTTTTACAGTTTAGCTTATTAAATTGACACTGACCTTAAGTCTTACTCACACATGCCCAACTTCTGGACACACCTCGAAAAAACTGTTCCAGAGCTCATGTCCACATTCAGACACCAAACTATTTCACTGTATTATTGCTTTTTGTTAACTCCTATTCCCCCACAACTCTCCAGTTATAGCAATTCCAACTGGCCTCCTGTTTTGCACCCCATTCCTGTATAGGGCAGACATTGTGGGCTATTTACTTGGCCCACTGTAAGAAGGACACAGAATTGAGCAGAATTGAGCAGAATTGAGCTGATCTGCTACAAAGTGCTGCAAAGAGCACAGGATCAATGGAGACCTGTCACTCTCTGCTAGGAAGAGATGGCTGTAGTGGTAGGACAGACACTCAAGGATGAAACTGGCTCCTGGACAGAAAGGAAAAGCCAAGACCAGGTTGCCTATGCAAGACATGAGGACAAAAACATACAGTTAAGTGCACAAGTTTTGATCAAGTATCTACCATATACAGTATCTACCAAGTTCTGTGGAGAACACAAAACAAATACAACAATGGTGCTGCTTTTAAAAAGTCAAGACACACACCCATGAAGTGATCAAATAACAATGCATAATAGTGTGAAATTCTGTGTCAAAATGTATACTAGAGGTCACAAATACTATGAGAGAGTCCAAAGATATAAAATTAATGAAAGCTAGATTGGGTGGGGAAGGCTTGTGACAAGAGGTAGAATTTCATCTGGATCTCAAAAAGAATTGGTAGGATTTGATCAGTGAAGAGGATAAGTAAGAAGATTGCAGGCTTGAGAAATAGAATGAGGGAAAGTGTGAAATCTGGAAGTGAATGACACGTTAGTGAGGAGCTAGGTCTGGCTTGTCTTTGTTCAGGTGGAGACATGAGGAGGAGGGAGGGAGATAAGGTGAGGAGGTAATGCAATAAGGAAATGAATGACAAGATAAGTTTACATTATGGGGAGCCTCAACTTCCAAAAGGTGTTTGAGCCCTATCTTTTATCTCCAGAGTTTTTGATTTGAGGAAGTGGGGTAAAGAAACTGCTGTTTCAATAGTTGTAGATTTCCCAGGATGAAAGAGGGATGGGAGAGAATGGAGGCAAGATCATTTAGAAAACTAGTATAATGGTCCAGGCATGAAGTAACAGCAGATATGGTAGAATAGACAGAACAGGCAGATTCAAGAACATTTTCCTTCCTTCAAGGAAGGAATAACAGGACTGGGTAACTAAAATAGAATAAAGAAGAATTAAGAACCAAAGAAAGTCTGAGATTCAAGATGTTTGGATGAGCAGGGTCAAAGAAGTTTAGACCCACAAGGGGTCCAGTCCTACTCTTTCACTTCAAGGAGTGATAAAACTGGTTATTTAAAAGCCTCAGAACTAGTTCTCAGCAGAGCCAGCAACAGAATATCCAGGCTAGTGCACTCACGACATTTTCCAAGCAGTATATGCCAAGAGTTAATTACATATAAATCATTTTCAGAATGACTATTTCTAATGATGAGAGCAACCAGACCAGAATGTGATGTCATAACTGCCACAGGACTAAATGAAAAATAAGTCATATAATTACATGAATAATTCACACACAAGTCAGATACTCTGCTTTCTGTTGTAAACAGAAACTTGCTTAGCAATTTCTCAGGGTTATAAATTCACCCTGATGACATTAACCATGATAACTTATCCCTTTTCAGCCTGCCTGCCTTTTGTACTTACTGGTCACCCGGACATTTGTCTTTGGTGTGCCATTCTCTTTATTAAGGTGAGGACTTTGACTTCATTGGCCCTTAGCCAAAATTAGTGTTGTGTTATTAAATTCTGGTGGTCTATTGATGGATAATCAATTGTTGAAGAAATTAATATAGTTATACCAATTATGAGTTTATGGTTAAAGAACCTGAAATTTTAAATAATGGAAAATATGCTCCCCAGAGAGTAATGGAATGAAAACTGATTTAAGCATCAAGAATATGATTCTTTTTTTTTTTTAATCCTCATCTGAGGATATTTTTCTATTTATCTTCAGACAGACTGGAAGGGGAAGAGAGAGAAAGGGAGACAGAGAGAAACATCAATATGAGAGGGACATATTGACTGGTTGCCTCCCGCACAACCCCGACCATGGCGGGGGACGAACCCGCACCCGAGGTATGTGCCCTTGCCTGGAATTGAACTTGCGACTCATTGGTCTGAGGGCTGATGCTCTACCACTGAGCCAAACAGGCCAGGGCAAGAAGATGATTCTTTAGTAGTCCCAGTGAGACCACTGATAATTGTGTTTGTCTCTTTGGTTATCTGAAGCCTGCTGGTTCTGAAACAGTCAGTAGAAACACAATTTTAGTTATCACCAATTTCCTTTTAAACCTGGGTGAATTAAGGGCCTACTAGAAGGACCTCTGTTTGTTGAGAAAGAATATACAAAATGTATTACAGACTTATCATTTCATTTCTCTTTCGAGTAACAAAGAATTCATTTACCTCCCTAATGCAAGAGTCTCACTCGCCTGAACTCATTTCTACTAATGTTTTTATACAGTTAAAACATTTGCTTAACTCTTCCCAATTCTGGACCCTTTATAACTCTGAATAGGTCTTAGTATTTCCCCATTTTAATATTGATATTTGGAAGTGGGTACACAAAAAAACACACTTCTTCATAATAACTTAGAAATAATGTAATGACTCTTCCAAAACATGGTTATTGGTTTTTTGTTTTTTTGTTTTTTTCCTGGAATTTAAGCCTGAAAAGGATAGGATAAAGTAACAATAAATCCCATTGCTTCTCACCCTCTGAATGACTTTCTTTCTTATTTTAAAGAAATTAAAATTAGCCCTGGCCGGTTTGGCTCAGCGGTTAGAGCGTCAGCCTGCGGTCCTGAGAGGCCCGGGTTCGGTTCCCGCTAAGGGCACGTACCTCGGTTGCAGTTTGTCACCGGCCCTGGTCGGTCGTGCGGGTGGCAGCCACTCGATGTGTCCCTTTCACATCGATGTTTCTCTCTCTCTCTCTGTTCCTCTCTCTCCCTCCCGCTCTACCTGAACAAAAAAACAAAAAAATGTCCTCGGGTGAGGATTAAAAAAAAAAAAAAATTTAAGAAATTAAAATTAAAGATAACACCCACCCCCCCGTTTGGTGAGTTAATGCTAAGCAAATAAAATATTGGCTGACCTCCTCCATCACGTTTATTGAAGCTGAAAAGAAAAACAGTGAAAATACTTCTATCTATTGGATATCATTTGGGGTACAGTTAGAAGAGAGTGGAAAATGGGCACAAAGTCGTGGTTCTGCTCTTCTGCAAATGATTGCCAGGCACTGGAGGTGGGGAGCAGGGAGGCACACTGGGAAGAGGTATCAGGAGTAGAGCAAGTAACCCCTCCCTCTTCCAGAACTTCTCCCTCTTATATCTGTGAACTTTTTTGGATTAACTATGGACCTAGAGGGTAAAAATATATTATAAAATATATCAAGATATCACTAAGTCAGTTTTTTGTTTTGTTTTGTTTTTGGAGAGGCATAGAAGACCCTCTAAAGAGGATAAAATTTTCCATTAAAAAATAGTCTTAAAAAGAAGTCAAATTACTCTGAAGTCATTACAAATATAGATTGTGATTTCACTGAAGCTCAATGTTTCAAACAATAACAACTAGGGCTTTTTTATTTTAAAATAATTGAAGACTCACAAAGTTACAAAAATAGCACAGAGTTCTTGTGTAGCATTCACTCAACTTTCTCCAAGGATAGTATCTTACACAACCATAGTAGATCATCAGAACCAAGATAATTAGCTTATTATCAATTAGTCTTTAAAGATTTCAAAATCTGTTATAGTGTTTTAAATTGCTCCTGAATATTGAGGAGGGAAGTTTCCCTGGAAGTAGCCTAGTCAGAGGCACCATGCAAAGAGATTAAGTGCTTTATCCAGTACCAGAATTACACTCTCTCGGAGTATAATTTTTCAGCCCTGGCAGGACACTGGAATCACTGGAGTGTGGGCAAATCACTGGGTGGGTGGGTGGGTGGGGCTCACCCCCCACCCTCCACCCCCATCCCAAATCAATTCCATCAACCTCTTGTTTGTTTGTGTGTTTTTTTCTTCACAGCAGGACATTTTTGCATCTATCTTCAGATAGAGCAGGAGGGAGAAAGGGAGGAAGAACGAAACATCGACGTGACAGAGACACATCGACTGGCTGCCCGCACCCACAGGACCCCTACCGGGGTGGGGACAAACTGCAACTGAGGCACGTGCCCTTAGCGGGAACCGAACCGGGACTCTCCAGTCCCCGGGCCAAAGCTCTAACCGCTGAGCAAAACCGGTCAGGGCCCGTCAACCTCTTAAAAAAACTCCTCAGAAGGTCCAAATGTGCAGCCAGGGTTCAGCACTACTGATGTCAGTCTTTAGTAAGTGGGGTTGATTTAATGCTTTTTAAAAAGTGAGTTTTTGAATACGTTTTGCCTTAGTGACATCATTGCCAAAACTGAAATGTATTCAAACTCCCTTTGCCCTACAGATCCAAGTTTCAATGCTCTTTTCATAATTAAACTTATTAAGCCTGAAACCAGGCTATGAAATAGAAAGGTAATGGGGCATCTCATCCCTGGACAACCTCTCAGAAATTCAAGAGTGGGATAAAAAGATGGTTGACACCCTTTTCTTCCAACTCTAGGCTTAGTAGTTTGACTCAGTATCATTGTCTTTACTTCAAATTTTAGGAACTGCTAGATAACATCAGAGAGGAACAAATAGAAATTAGATCGATTTCTCTCACTAATTGCGCGAACCACATAAGAACACAAAGGCTCTTGGGACCTAATCCGATTACCCTTGTTAGGTTCTTATCCTAAAACTATTTTTGGAAACCAGGGATTTTCCAGATTACTGAGGACTGTGGCTCTGTCACCGTGGGGCTGAGCTTCGCACGCGGGGCAGCGAAAGCAGCCGCCCTCCACTCAGTCTCCGCCCTTCCATACCCTAGTCCCCGAGCATTCGGAGGGAACCGATGCGGTTCACATTCCTGTTTTCAAAAATGCTACAAAGCAGTTCTCTTCAGATTCTCCGTGGGTCACTTTAAATTACAAGCTTGTCCTTACGCGACATCAGGGCTACCGCTTACACCCGTCAGAGGGCGAAGGTCGCCGCAGGCTTCCCCTGGACACGCTGAGTCCGCTCTGCGCAAACTCAGAAGGCGAGGAAGGGAGCCAAGGGACGCGCGTTCTGCACAGATGACCCAAGTCGCGCAGGAGTTATCGTACATTTTGCCAAGTCCAACTTGGGGAAAAGGTAGCTTGTAAAACTCCATTATTCGTGTGGCTAAAAATATTACAAACAAGGCGGTTTAGATCTCTTCTAGCTAAAAAGACCTTGGGGCCCCCTGACCACTCCAGGGACCCAGGAGACAGGCCGCCCAGGTCACCCCAGGGTCCCACACAACAGCCGCAGCTCGCAGACCGCGCGGGGGAAGGCACCGTGGGCGGAGGCAAGGTCCGGAGGGACTAGTTGGCACGCGCCGGCCGGGCGTGGTGACGTCAGAGCGGAAGCGCACGCTGCGTGAAGCGGCTCAGAACGCGGCGGTCACGGGAATATCCGTCGCGCCGAGGACGCTGGTTAGTTTCGCTCCGGGTTCCAGCTGCGTCGGGCGTGCGTGCAGCTCGCTGAGACTATGGCGTCCGGGCCTCACCCGACAGCGACCGCTGCCGCCGCAGCCTCATCGGCCGCCCCGAGCGCGGGCGGCTCCAGCTCCGGGACGACGAACACGACTACGACTACGTCGGGAGGGATCCTGATCGGAGACCGCCTCTACTCGGAAGTTTCGCTCACCATCGACCACTCGCTGATTCCGGAGGAGCGGCTCTCTCCCACCCCGTCCATGCAGGATGGGCTCGACCTGTCTAGCGAGACGGACTTGCGCATCTTGGGCTGCGAGCTCATCCAAGCCGCTGGCATTCTCCTCCGGCTGCCGCAGGTCAGTGCTCCGGCCCCGGGTCGCCGGGCGCGCCTCCCCCCGCCCCCCGTCGTGCCCCGGTACCGCCAAGTCCCGGCAGGGTGGCATGGTCCCCCTCCGGCTTCCCAGCCGCGGGGCCCAGCCGGAGCCGGGCTGGCCGTGGGCGGGAGTGGGGGGAGCTGCCCGCTGTTCGCGGTGGGGAGGGGAAGGGTAGCGAGCGGCGGCACAAAATGGCGGCGACGCCTGGTGCGGGCCCGCCTGACCCCGGCGCTTCCGTTCTTCTCTCTTGTCTGCAGGTGGCGATGGCAACGGGGCAGGTGTTGTTCCATCGGTTTTTCTACTCCAAGTCTTTCGTCAAACACAGTTTCGAGGTAAGTGTGGCGGGGGCGAGTGAAAAAGGATTTCTTCATCCGGAAATGGGAATGAGGCGGGTAGTGTTAGAAGCCAGCTTTTCCAGCAAGGAAGTGGTTAGTTTAGGCCTTTGTACCTAGTTCTCACCCACCAGGAAGTACGGACTTTTATAATGTGTTCTAGAAAGTGGCTCTCGACCCCTCTAATCAGTAATTAGAATTTTCAGCCAAATGCGAAACTCTTGTAATACTGAGTTTCCTCTGGATTCAAAATTGAGGAAATAAGCAATAAAGTGAATCATAGTGTTAACGTGGCTGATAAGCTTATGGTTTGGAAATGTTAGTTGTCATTGTATTTCATCAAAGGTTGTCCCAATTGTATCCTAATGTTTCTTCGAAGTAAGTTGGTTAGCTTTTGAGAGGGGCATTTTCCTGACTGCCCCCGATAGTGCCATAATCTGACAACTGTTTTTATTGGATCATTGGTTCTTTCAGATTGTTGCTATGGCTTGTATTAATCTTGCATCAAAAATCGAAGAAGCACCTAGAAGAATAAGAGATGTGATTAATGTATTTCACCACCTACGCCAGTTAAGAGGAAAAAGGTAAGATTGGCATTATTGAACACAGCGTCTCTTGCTACTGCTGTACTGTGCACACCAATCATCAAATCAAAACATTCTTTCCTCTCAAGTTAAAACCCATACACAGGAAAACTAGGTGTTGAAATTCACATAGGAGCACGTTGATACTTAATGAAAAAACACAATTAACCAGCTATCTAAAGTTTGTAGAGGCAGTTGCATTTATGGACAATCCTAACAGTGCTGTGAAGCAGTCCTGTGGCTTAAGATTAAACAAGAAAGGGAATACGTTTGGCTCAAGTGTGAGTGTATTCTGTAAGTTATTTTTTCCCCATCCCTCTCTGGAAGACTGAAGGCTGGAAGTTTAAACACTGCAGTTCAAGTTAATATTGTGGCACAGTTTTGTGTAGATTGTCTCTCTACTCGGAAGTCCCAGTTAACGCTTTATCAATTGAGGTTGGCTTTTGTTAGAGTACTTCTCAACATTGAACTACGATAAATCGCATAATACCGGATCTGAAAGGACTGCAGGATGATAAAGTTTGAAGTCAAAGGGATTAAACAGGTATTTTGTCTTGGTAGATACAGTCTCAGTGAGTGGATTAGAAAAATAACTTAATTGATTGGGTTATATTTAGTTATGCCCATTTAATTTCTCTGGTAAGAAAATAGACCAAAATAGTGTCTTACAGATGTTGTGGCTACATCATAACACTTTATGTGGACTTACGTGTTCATGTGAGGCAGAAACAAATTTTAGTTGCAGCACTTCTGTGTCTACGGGTAACTTCCAAGTACATGCTGCAGAGGATTTAGTTGGTGTAGATTAGTTCTTTTCACTTTCTAAGAAATTGTGATGTTAGACAAACTTGTACTGAGTTTGAAAGGAAGTTACAAAAGGATTTTAAGTTGTTTTGGGGGTTGGGTGTTGGTTAGTACCAATTTAGTATCCTACGTGAGCAGTTCTTACTGGCGGAATCTGTAAGTTGGCATAATAGAACTATTCAGAGACGGGCGAATAGTAAAGTAACCTTAAAATGATTAATCTAGTTAAAGAGTCCAAAACATTGCTACTCAGATAGTTTTCACAACATTTTTCAGTTTCTTACATTTTTTTTTTCTGCCATCTTTTCTTCATTCATGCTAACCATATCCAGGGATAGACTAATTATTTCATTTTAAAATATCCTTTAGCTTCTTGGTGAGGAATTCCTGGAAATTGGGAAGATTTCAATTTGGTATTTAGTATGGTCTGAGCTAAAATTTATGTCTAGGTATCTAGCTGATTCTTCAGGGTGTTTAAAACAAAATGACTAATAAAAAAGCCCTTTAGTCAAAGGATTCTGTGTTAGTTTAAAGGAAATAGCTTCCTATTATTCTTTGAACCATTGAGCCAACTCTTACGTTATCACTTATAATGATTATCTACTTTGAAATTTTTCTGAGACTTAGTTTTCTTCCTTGATATCAGAGTAGGTCTTAACTATACCTTGGAATTTAAAACATCTCACCTGACTGTTCTGTCTGATGTAACTGTGGTGTTTTTTTTGGGCGGGGGGGCCATTACAGAGAGACTGATTTTGTCTCAATCTTAGAAGTGTCTGTAGCATGAAATTTAAAAGGAGTTAATTGCATGGAAGCCTTTTTTTTTAAAGCAGGATGTAAAAGTGTTTCTATGCATATTACAAGTTTACTCAGACACGTAACTTGTATATGTTATTAACTTCAACTCTTTTTTCCCTTGCAACCGACTATACAGCGACCAGCTACATTTACCAAAGCCTGGGTGATGTGGAGTGGTACATAGAGATGAAGCTGTCGTCATGGCAACAGTGAGTGAAGTATGGAAAATCCCCAAGGAGAAGCCAGTGCTCTGAGAATAGGTCACTGGAATCGGGGACTAACAGGTTGGCCACTGGTGAACCATTTAGAAAAACTCCTGTTTCTTGTTATAAGCTTTAATCTTTGCTGTCCAAGTTATTAAATTATAGCTTAAATGATTTTTCATAGATTAATGTCGTTAGAAAGTATTATCTGTATTATACTTTAGTTAAGCAAAATAGTATCAGTTTGTTTTAAAGTTATTTATCTTAATGTAGTTTATGAAAGCTTTAAATTACAGTATGAACTAGAAAATCACAAAAGAGACATCACTTTTGTAGCCTTTAGGTAATTGTTCTTTCCTGGCTACACATTAGAATCACCAGATGAGCTTTTAGAAAGTACCAATGCCCAAGCCATGTCCTGTATTGACCTCCCTACCCACCCCCCCATTGATTTTTTTTTTTTTATAGTTTGATCCTTGTCTTCTAAACTCGGAATAAATGGCTGAATTTAAAGGGAGGTTGCTTTTCCATTTTATTTCCAATTATAACTTGCTTTTGAAGTGTAGCAAATTAAGGGTTTTCTGTAGTTTTAAAGAGCCCACATTGATACCTTAAGGTTTGTTTGTCTAAAAGAATGCAAGTCTTCAGACTGCTTCAGATTGGTGTAGTATTTTCAATATGCGTATATGTAGATCATGAATGAAAGTTGGAAGGGTCTTAAGTGATCTTATTCTTTAGTCCAGCCTCCCTTTGCAATTTACTTTGGTGGTTCTTAAGGTGGCCTTCAGTCTCTCTTCAAACACAGCTAAAAAAAGAATGGTCCTTTGATGTAGCATTGCAAATGTCTGTGTGTTGAGCAGCAGTTTGCCTCTTTGTAAACTACTCACCTCGTTTTAGAATAGTTCTTTGAAGAACTAGTTCCAAATTTTCTTGGTGTTTATACTACATGAGTGAAACTTAACCATGTTTGGACCTCCTAATTCTAATTTCTTTTCCTTCAAGGTGTATTTCAATTAAATCATGCTAAAGGAAAAATAGCTATTGTAAGAGGCCAGATAATAAACTTCCAATGACCAAAGTCCAAGATTTCCTATTAAAACTAAAATTTGATAATTGTTTTTTTCATACAAGTTAATCTAAAAATCTGACAAACTTAAAAGCTGGGGAGGTAGAGTTAGGTTTGGTTGTTTGTTGATAATGGATTTTTTTTTTGGTCTCTGAATAGATGGTTTCTTTTTAAGAGATTTAAAAATGCCACCTCTTCAAACTTTTATCAGAAAGGAAAGTTAACCTAATTGAAGAGGAAGACATTCTAGCAAACCTTAATTCAATTTAATGTGCTTGTTGCTACAGAAAGTCCTAATTGATGCTACGTTAATATAAATAAACCAATTGATTAGACAGTTTTCTTGAACCTTTTCTTGCTGGTTTATCCTGACATTTTTTTCTTCTACAAAATCTTTGTAAATTACATGTTTATTGAGTCTTCTTGATTTGTGAAGTAAAACCAACGGAAAAAAATGAAAGTTTTAGATTATACACATACAAAGTTAACGTTGAAAACTACAGGTAACAGTAGACCTAAGCAGAAGTTGAGTATATAGTTGAATTAATAGTAAATGATGGGTTTGGTCTCCTTAGTCATTTGATTTTATTGGGATAATGACACAGAAAAAGGGAAAGTTAAGATTGTGGCAAAGCAGATGGAAAATAACTTTGTTTAAGCAGAATTAATAATTAAACCTGATTTGGCACTAGATAGTAGCCATAATTTGAAAAAAAAATGTTTAGCTGGTTAATTACAAGAAACATGAATTTTAACAGAATTTGAAGGCAACTCTTAACAAAACTGCTTTTATAAAATTTTATTTTTATACGGATTCTAATGATGCAGTTTTGCTGTCCAAATTGCAATGGTGTGCAGCTATAACACTGATGGTATCCTAATGCCTGTTGAAGGAGGGACTTAGAGTCTGAGGTGAATTTAACTTATTTCCAAATTTCCTGTTGTGATGAAACCTAAAAAACTATAAACCTTAAGATCTTTGACATGTTTTCATATATACATTTATTGCTATTTGAGGTAACCTTTTTTCCTCCAAAGAACAGTTAACTTGCAGCTTATTGTCCTAATAAAAATGGATTCATTGTGATATTATGTTAAAAATCAGTTCCTGCCCCAATTGGTGGCCTCATTCCTCACACCTTTTCATATCTGTGATAGGAGTTGAACTGAGTGAAGGCCATTTTCAGCATTGTCAATCTAAGTAATGGCTATTTTCCATTTTGTCAGCTTCGCCAACTTGTTTAATGTAATTTAATTTAAAAAAAATAGAATAATTTGAAGTAGTCTAGCAAGCATGTTTTCATCATTTTAAGTGTGAGAAATGATTTCTACTCTGATAACATGTCACTGCAGAGGTAGTTAATGCGGCTTGTTTCACATTGTTTAATCTTCAAGTGGATATATTAATTGTGTTTTGATTTTAAAGTATGAGCTTTACTTTTTTCTGGATTTGCTGTGCATGTAAAAGGAATTGTGAGTTGAGGTACTATTCAGAATGGCTAGCTTTTAAAAATAGATGTTGTATTCTATCTGCCCAGGGCAGAAACTCTTGAATCTTTTGGTTGAAAGTGAATTGAGTATGGAGAAAACATTTAAATATTCTACACATATACACATACACAGTATCTTAACAAAAATGTATCTTTTGTTGGTTGGATCTAAAAATGTATTAAACGAAATTTATGGGCTTTTAAATGAAAACCCAACTCCTGACAAAAAACAAACTGCTCAGTAAGCAATTAATTTTGAATGTAAGATTTAAATAAAAATAAGAAACCAGTTTTTAATTTTAAGACTTAAATAAGATAGTCTTTTAATTGAATGCACTATTTCTAAAGCACTGAATCACTGATTGATACACATAGCCTTCTGCAAGAAGGCTATCATTATTTAATCTGGCACAGAGACCTTGGGTGTTATGATTACCTCATTAAGGTCTTCCCTTCTCTTTTGCATTGCATGCTAAATATACTGCCTAATAACAACTGGTTTTTATTCATCACTTTGAGTTTTCAATCTGATATAATTTTATAACTTTTTTTGGTAATTGAATTGTTTAGTTTCCAGATTATTTTCTTTAACAGATAGATTCATAGAATAATTTGTTTAAACTAATTTCCCATTTTGAGGGAATCTAGATTAGCTAGCTACCCACCATATTTTTTCACCTAATTTTAATTTTGGCCATGAAGTAGCCAAGAGTTGATATTTTGTAAAATTACTATAATCTTATGAGGTCTTACAGTAAATATTTCCAAGAAGAGCACATTCATTTTGTCATTGGAAAGAGCCTGGAGACCAGTGAGATTTGTGGTAATCAGATATCGCGGAAGTTAATTAACATATATACCCAAAATATCTGTGTGAAAAATATGAAAAGGATGAATCCAAGAGAATTAGAGTGAATTTTTTTCATTGCAGGGTTGAGTTAGTTTCTATAGGAATTTAGTTTAGAAAGTACATATTTAAGTAGCATAACTTGGACAGCACAAGATTAATGCCTTAACTTGTTTGCAGGAGTTTAAAAAGCTGGTTTCTGTTGCCAATAGTTGGTTGGAAGGGAAAACGGAGATGCCACAAATAAAATTTTTTGGATGTGCAAAACAGTTTTGATTTTATTTCTTACAAACTATAGGACTCCAAGCCCCCTGATCCTTGATCAGAACTACATTAACACCAAAAATCAAGTTATCAAGGCAGAGAGGAGGGTGCTAAAGGAGTTGGGATTTTGTGTTCATGTCAAGCATCCCCATAAGGTGAGTTGTAGAGAACAGAAATTACATTCGTAAGTATTAGGGGTTTTTGTAAAATTTTAATTTACTTGAATTTATGTTTGAGAGTTAACCTTGGTTTTTAAAAGCATCCTTTTGGATTTTGAAATTTATCAGAAAAATGGGAGTCAAAAAGACTTGGGTTCAAAACTTCACTTTTTATTGTATGGGCATAGATAAACTCTTTTTGCCTCTGTGGTTAACCCAGTTTTTCCTACTTTGAAACAGATATTATGAAATAACCATTCTAAGGAATAAATTATGTATGTGGGTATGTGTGTATGTGTATATATAATGTGCAAAAGAACCTGGCATGCTACCTGTTCCATAGTAAAATGTTCAAAGCCTTGTGGCTGCTCACTGTTACTGAATGTTCATTGGTTTCTGTAGCAGCTCTTGGCTTACATGTGATTGACATAAGTAATAGCAAAATAGTTACAAGAATGGGTGCTCTGAGGGCAGGACTATGGGCTTTAGAACTTGTCTCTGCCATTAGTTGTGTGACCTTGGCAGATATCTCTCCTTAGATTTCACATCTCTAAAATTGTAAAATGAGAATGATAAAATATACAGCTCCTGAAATACCTCAGCCGAACTGAGGTAAAGCTACTTACATGTAGTGTGATAAGATTTATTGTAGACATATTTAGTGTTTGATTACTTACTATAATACCCACTTGGAGTATTGCATAATATATGTCATACCCATTGTGTAACTTTCAAAACATACAGAGTCTCTTGAGTTTGGGACATGAAGAATTGTACCTTGGGAAATTAAATGCTATCTTTTAGCTTTAACTTGTTTGCAGGACACACCACAGTGCCTGCTACATAGTAAAGTATTCATGGAAAAAAAGGGTATTGTTTTCATTGAATTAACTTCCAATTTTTTTCCTATACAATTTTGAAACATATTTATAAATATTTTTATGGAATCTAGTAGCATATAAGCCACGTTGACTCATACATTTTAGGTTGGTCTGTATTATATATGCAGTTTATAGAAGAGTTAAAACTTTAACCTAACATTTTCAGTTACTTATATTCATTGAACTCTGTATTCTGAAAGAACTAAAGATGTGCTAAATTGAGTTTTTTTCCCCCTTGTCCTTCAGATCATTGTTATGTATTTACAAGTCTTAGAATGTGAACGTAATCAAACCCTGGTTCAAACTGCCTGGTAAGTTGCTTTTTTTACATTTCTTTTCTAGCCAGGAAAACAGAAGCAGAAATAAAGTAAGTTTCATTTTCCCTTTCCAAAATAATGAGACAAGTTTCTTTTGGTGCTTTTTGTTTTTTTGTTTTTTAAAAAAAGGTAAATAATGCTTATTTCTGCTTCCTGTTTTCTTGGCTTGACTAATTACTTTTAATGGAGAACTCAATTTAACTTTGTTCTTTTTTCTACTCTTTAATTAAAGGGTAGTCCATGATGGTAAGTCATAGAACTCTGCCCTCTGCACTTCAGCCCATGACCTCAGGATGGCCTGATTGGCTGCCCTGCTCTCCAGCCAATCCAGTGCAAGCTCTCATCCGAGATTCACTGAAGTGGTCCATATCCATCTGGCAGCATCTTCTAGTTCTGTCGGGGTGTCAAAAGGATTTGTATATTTGCTTCTAGAAGTAACTATTCAACATGCCTATGTATTTAATGTATACCTGTAACTATCAAAATGAATAGTTCATTTTTGATAGATTTGTTATCCAGCCATGATGAATTAAGTAATTTTTTTGTTAGGAGTTTGACTAGATTTCAGTTTTCACTGTGTATAGCATGAATTTTACCAAAGGAAACTACAACTTGTAGTTTAAAAGTGGGCAACATTTCCATACTGGATGAATTCATAGCTGCTGGGCTATTGCAGACAATAACAAAATTAAGAAGTACTTGATTTTTCAAAGCACTTTATAACTTGGACTTTTAAGATGCAGATGTGTGATTCTGAGTGCTGGCTTATTTAAAGGTAAAGTAAAACAATGATTTGTGGTCCAGATGTAACTAGTCTCAAGACTGCTGTACAGGACTTAATTATTATGTTCTGGACTTAGGACTGCCATGCTTCTCTTGGATTCAGTAAATATTAGTAATAGTAGAAAAGTCTCATTGCTTTTATAAAATACATGACATTTAAAAAAATAAAATGCATGACATTTTTAATATCTGTTCTATATAGTAAACAGATTTTGGCAGTTATGCGTAAGGATTTTTAAGAAATAATCTCTTTAACCTTTTAAGCAATTGGTAAAATTTCTTCAGTATCTTAGGAATGTGTGGGGAGGGTTCACTACTTAAGAAATCAAACAGTTTATTAACTAAAGTAGTTAATTGCTTTTATTTGTATTTAGTCACAAAAAAAGGTATATAAACAAGGCTGTTAATAGATATTTATTGCTCTTCACTTCCTGTCTAGATTTTCTGAAGTAGCTTAGTTTTCTTAATATAACTTGGTGAGTGCTTACCTTTTTACCCCTGTCACAGTACTTGTGAGTTTTTGAAAGAACTTGGTTGACACTGCTTTTCATTGTGGATAAAGGAGAGATGGTCAATAATTAATGGCTTGAAGTATTGTTGGAGTGGTTTATCATTTCTGAAACTAGTCATGTCAGAATTGACTATGAAAAGTATTACTTTTCATAGAAATATATTTTAAAAGCTTTAGATGTAAGTTCTATTTGGAACAGTAGAATTATTTTCAAGGAATTTAGTTATGTAGAAAAGCTGAAGAATTGTTCTAGTGTTAAATTCTTTTCTCTCATTGATTTTTGAGTGAAGAATTGTTATATGCTAGAATATGAGGATATGAATATAAATACGAGAAGAAAAAAGAATAAAGTAGATTGAGTCTCCAATTTTATGTAAGCTTTAGAACTGTTTTATGTATGGAGCTTATTATTAAAATATTTTTCAGGAATTATATGAATGACAGTCTTCGAACCAATGTATTTGTTCGATTTCAACCAGAGACTATAGCATGTGCTTGCATCTACCTTGCGGCTAGAGCTCTTCAGGTAGGTATATATAGGCTGCTTTGTCCTATAGGATAAATTGGTCCTCCTGATAAAAATAGAGCGTTTAGTCTAAACCACTTTCTTTTCATGGTTTAGATTCCATTGCCAACTCGTCCCCATTGGTTTCTTCTTTTTGGTACCACAGAAGAGGAGATCCAGGATATCTGCGTAGAAACCCTCAGGCTTTATACCAGGAAAAAGGTAATTCTGTTTACTTATATTTGTGCTAATGCTTTCTCAATGCTAAGACTAAACTCTTTGAAGGAGAGCTACTAACTTCATTTTCCTTCAACAGCCAAACTATGAACTGCTGGAAAAAGAAGTAGAGAAAAGAAAAGTAGCCTTACAAGAAGCCAAATTAAAAGCAAAGGGATTGAATCCTGATGGAACTCCGGCACTTTCAACCCTTGGTGGATTTTCTCCAGCCTCTAAACCATGTAAGATTTATTCAGAATTGAAATGAACTGGGCACTGAGGGTGTGCAGTTATTAGAAAGCTTTAGCATTTAACAATTGCAAGGAAATGATGTTAAGAAGGTGTTTGTTTTCTCTTGACAGTCAACTAAAGACATGCTTGAAAGCCTGATACTTTGACTTATATTTGTAAACAGCTTTTAACCCTCTATAAACCCAGTAGTTGGCATGTCTTTATTATGGTTTATTTTTTATTCTTTAAGCATCACCAAGAGAAGTAAAGGCTGAAGAGAAGTCACCAGTCTCTGTTAATGTGAAGATGGTCAAAAAAGAACCTGAGGACAGACAGCAGGCTTCCAAAAGCCCTTATAATGGGTGAGTATACTTGAGTTAGAACTGGCCCAAGGAATCTTTTATGTGATTAATTTCTAACACACTAAGTATGTAACTAAATATTGTGGGTTTTTTTTTTTTTAAGGGTGAGAAAAGAAAGCAAGAGAAGTAGAAATAGCAGAAGTGCTAGTCGATCAAGGTCAAGAACACGATCACATTCTAGATCGCATACTCCAAGAAGACAGTAAGTAAATATTCTCTTAGGAAAGATAATCTTATTTGGGGTGTTTTAAAAGTTACTCTTTAAAAAAAATTAACAAGTTAGGCTAGGTTTAGGCTTTTCATGTAAGGGTAGCTTGTGAGAGATGAGTGGAATTTTGCTCTGCATGTGTGGAGCTTTTCTGTTTGTTGTGTGGTGGGGTACCTTAATGGCTTTCTGTTCTGTTTTTGCCCCCCCCCCCTTATTGATTTTTAGAGAGAGGGGAAGGGAGAAAGAAACAATGATGAGAGAGAACATCAGTTGGCTGCCTCCTGCATGCCTCCCCTTGGGGACCAGGCCCACAACCCGGGCATGTGCCCTGACCTGGCATCAAACCAGCAACCTCTTGGTGCTTGGGTCAACGGTCAACCACTAAGCCACACCAGCCGGGCTGTTTGTGCTTTTTGTTTTTTGTTTGTTTGTTTGTTTTTTGAGATGTGTAAGAGCTGGTGAAAGTGCTTTGGAGGTATAAAATACCCTGTATTTTATTAACGACTTACTAACCAATAAGCTGACCATAGCCAAAGAATCTTCTAATCAGCTTTGTAATTACATTGCTAGCTATTGATGGCTCTTTCGAGCTATGGGAGATACTCAATAAAAAGCATAGTGATCTAGACATTCTGTAAAACTTGCTAATTACTATCCTTGGAATATAGACATATATTATTACATTTGTTTAAACTTTGTATAATACAGGCTGGAGGGAAGTAATGAGGGGAAAATTTAATAGTGTTTGGTCTGGCCTGTTGTCAATACAGGTCTGATAGTTTTGTTTTGAACCTGTTATGAGCACCACCAGAATCATTTGTTCCCAGTAGAAATCGAATCTAAACCTCAAATTTTTATTATCTAAGTTATAATAATAGGCGGAGTCGATCTGGAACATACAGCTCGAGATCAAGAAGCAGGTCCCGCAGTCACAGTGAAAGCCCAAGAAGACATCATAATCATGGTTCTCCTCACCTTAAGGCCAAGCATGCCAGAGATGATTTAAAAAGTTCAAATAGACATGGTCACAAAAGGAAAAAGTCTCGTTCTCGATCTCAGAGCAAGTCTCGGGATCACTCAGATGCTGCCAAGAAACACAGGCATGAAAGGGGACATCATAGGGACAGGCGTGAAAGATCTCGCTCCTTTGAGAGGTCCCATAAAGGCAAGCACCATGGTGGCAGTCGCTCGGGACATGGCAGGCACAGGCGCTGACTTTCTTCCGTTGAGCCTGCATCAATTTCTGGTTTCGCCTATCTACAGTGTGATGTATGGACTCATAATCAACACATTAAAAGCAAACTGATTAGGATTTGATTTCTTAAAACCCTCTAGTTCTCTAGAAACACTGAGGACATTTTCTGTTGAAAAAAACTGTTAATTTTTTTTTTTTTTTTTGCACATTAAAATGCCCTAGCAGTATCAAATTGAAAACCATGGTCGGGTTCAATTGTACTTATTATAGTTGTGTATTGTTTATTGCTATAAGAACTGGAGTGTGAATTCTGTAAAAATGTATCTTATTTTTATACAGATAAAATTGCAGACACTGTTCTATTTAAGTGGTTATTTGTTTAAATGATGGTGAATACTTTCTTAACACTGGTTTGTCTGCATGTGTAAAGATTTTTACAAGGAAATAAAATACAAATCTTGTTTTTCTAAACTGCTTCAAATATCTTATTTAAATAAATTATTTGAAAGCAAATTTTAATCGTAAAATGGCTGTACTGATTTTCTGACAGACCTGTTATTAGCTAGAATTTGAGATTACTGAAGTACAATTCTTACCAGCGTTGGGAGCTGTTGTAAAAAAAGTCTTCCCTGTAAAATGGAAAAAGCAACTGGGAGTGGCACCCAACAGTGTCACTTAAATGTTAAGTTAGCTTGTAAGTACTACTACTAAAGGAAACGGTCCTCTTGAACAAACCATTTGCCATAAGAGTAAATCAGACCCAACTATTGAGCTCAACTTTTTCTTTAATTTAGATATTTAGTGATTTTTATCTAGGCTAGGAGAATTCAGTAATGAGGTGTGAGGCCCTCACAACCTAGTTGGCTGATAAAGCAAAATCTGGCCACAAGGAAAAGGAAGTTTTGTTGAAAAAGCCATTGTGTATCCGAATGGACATTTTTTAAACTACTTATGTTCAGAGTTATTTTCCCAACATTTTGGAAGTGAATTTAGAGAATTTAAGAGGCCATATTTCAGTACTTTATAGTTACATTAGGTTTTCCATTAAATTTGTTTCATCCACCTTGATTACTTGTCCACTAGACTTGGCTCCAAATGATTTGTTGCTGTTTCAAAAAATCAAATACACCCACAAAGAGATGAAGACTTAATGCCACTATGGATTTAAAAACAAAACAAAACAGCTCCTGAAGAGGGTTCCAAGGATTTCCAAATGTTCACCAATGGCGGCGGGCAGTGGGACAGGAGAAAGAAAGTCTCACAAAGCAACTACATTGAAGGAGACAAGATTCGTTTGGATATAAAAACATTGGGTATGCTACTTATATCCGTTTTGTTTCTAACTACAAAAATACAACCTTGCATAACTGAGCAACTTCTGAAAGGGTGAGGGTAAATAGGTAGAGTGTTTTTTTCTACATATTTTAATACATTTCTGAGTTATAGCTATTTCTGTAGAGCTTCAGTAACCTCTACATAGTAAAGTTTGTTTACGTGACAGGAAAGAAAGGCCCTTTTAACAGATTAAACTTGAATTCTTAATGTGTCTTAAGTTTTTACCTCCTTGTTTTTGAAATAGCACTGTGGGTGTATAAAAGAGCACTCTTGTGAAGATGGAAGATGCGGAGGGTACACCTGCATGGGGGTGAAGGGTTATGTTAGGGGTGACTTTGCCAAGTCTTGGCCCTGTGCCCTAATTTTTGTCTTTGCTATTAGTTTTCTAGGTTCTTGTAAAGAGGTTTACAACCTTATGCTGCTCTACATGAACTTTTAAAAATATTTTTGAATAATTCCAAACTTTTATTATGGAAAATATCAAACAGAAGTAGTAGAGTACCCATTTCTCAACTCCAAAAACTAATCAAATCGTGGTCAGCCAGCCTTGTTTATACCTCACCAATTCACCACTACACCTCCCACTCTTATTTGGAAGAGAATCTCAGATAAGTGACTTCATCCCCAAATAATTCAATCCAAGAGAAAGGTAAGAACTTGAAACAACCACAATACCTTTATTATACTTTAGAAAATTAACAGTAATGTCTTACTCTTCAGTCAGTATCTAGATTTTCCCTGTCTCTTTATAATTGTTCAAATAAGGTCCATATATGTGGCTTTGCTTTTAGTCACAGATCCATCTTTTTTTCTGTGTAATTTAAAGAAATTGGGTCATTTGTCCTGATGAATTTTCCATATTCTGAGTTTGTTCATTGTAACCCTATGATGTCACTGAACATACATTTTTGTGCCGTGTTAAAAAGTCGTAAATCTTAGACTGCATCAGCTTGAGGTTTGAAAACTTCTGTTGGTCCACCTTGACAGCCTTGTGTATGTGTGTTCCTCGGTGTGTCTATATGCTCTCATATCTTTGTTTCCTACTACAGCTGTAAACCTTCATGCATGTAAGCTGTTGTTTAGTATTTATCTTAATGATTCCAATTCTCTTTTTTGGTTAATCCTCACCCAAGGATATTTTTTCATTGATTTTTAGACAGAGTGGGAGGGAGGGAGGCGGAGAGGGAGAGAGAAACATCTCTGTGAGAGAGACCATGGACTGGTTGCCTCTCACACAACCCTGACCAGGGCCAGGGATCAAACCTGCAACCCACGTACTGCCCTTGACCAGGAATCAAACCCGCAACCCTTTGGTCCCAGCGCTCTAACCACCAGGCAGGGCCTTTTCTTTTTCTTTAGTTGACTACAGAAAAAGATGAGAGGGAGAGAGAAACATTGATTTGTTCTATTTATGCATTAATTGGTTGCTTCTTGTACCTGCCTTCACCAGGAATCAAACCTGCAACCTTGGCCTATTGGGACAACGCTCTAACTAACTGAGCTACCTGTCCAGGCAATGATTACAAATCTTTATATAAATTCCTTTTATGTTATAGAATGTTACCTTTGTCCTTTACAATTGGTGTCTTAATCCTACAGGAAGACCAGTGAAATTCTTAATCACCTTTCCGTTTTAAAACAAAGTGATCATAAAAATGAGAACTGAACTTGAAGTTCTAAGTTTTGTTTTATAGTTTTAAATATTGTCCCTATTATCCACAACCTATATCAAAAGTCTTTTTTTAAAAATTTAAAGTTTGCTTTCGGGAGAGTTTCCCAAAACAAAGTAATTTGAAATATTTGTTGTCCTAGGAGCTATTTATTAATTCACCTTGGGCTGTAAAAGATAATTATGAAGATGAAGGGTTTGTTTTTAATCCAAAAATTTAAGAATCATGTGTAAAGCATAGGCATATTGGCACCTTAGTTTAGCTAGAGACACAGAATGTACATGGGATTGGTTAGGAAAACCCCTTATCCCACGGGGAAAATTTGAAGGGGAGCAGCATTCATTGTGTGGGGCTTGATCCGATGATATCTCCTAGAGTAGCTATTTGTGTGGCTGGAAATCAGAGCTTGACTTCATTTGTAACCATTTGAATTTAGTCCATATCTGGGATGAAGAATCATGGACTTGCATGTTAGCTCAAGTCATTCTCTACTAAGGAAACTTAGCCAGTCATTTAACCTCTAGTCTGCAAACATCCTTACATCACAGCATTTTGTATTATATATGTGTTAGATAAATATAAGGGCTTCTGTTTTTACCCCTGCAATCCAAATAATTCCTAATAGAAAACATCCAAGAACTTAACGTTTAAATGTTTTATATGGGCACAGTTCTAACACAGCTGTTCCAGAATGCTACTTCGCTGAGATTAGATCTGATTTCTCAACAGTACAAGAGTCATAAAGTATGACACCACCAGGCACTTGGATTCCAGATGTCTTCTTGACCCTGCTGCTTTTGTCACCTCTGCTCAGTGTAATTCTAACCCAGTTCTAAGTACAGAAGAAATTCCTACCCCGCCTGCTTGTATATGTCATCAAATTTTTTTCCCCTGTATCAGCTATCACCTCAATAGTATGTGGAATGGCATTTCTATATGTACTCCTTTGCTACAATTATTCAAACAGGAGCTAATGACCTATTTAAAACATTAATTAGCCCGGCCAATATGGCTTAGTGGATTGCATGGTCCCATGGACTATGGACTGAGAGGTCCTGGTTTGATTCCAGGTCAGAGCACATGCCTGGGTTTCAGACTCAATCCCCAGTAGGGGGCGTGCAGGAGGCAACCGATTGATGTTTCTCACATCAATTGTTCTATCCCTTCTCTCTAAAAAAAGCAATAAAAACATATTTTAAAAAAACAATCACATGGCCCTGGCCAGTTTGGCTCAGCGGTTGGAGCGACGGCCTGCGGTTCAGAGAGATCGGGGTTCGGTTCCTGCTAAGGGCACGTACCTCGGTTGCAGTTTGTCCCCGGCCCTGGTTGGGTCGTGAGGGTGGCAATCGCTCGATGTGTCCCTTTCACATCGATGTTTCTCTCTCTCTCTCTCTCTCTCTCTCTCTCTCTCTCTCTCTCTCCACTCTATCTGAACAAAATATCAAATAAATAAATAAATAAACAAACAAACAAAAAAAACAATCACATGTTGCTCTAATACATAAACCTAATGGTTTCCCATTTCACTGCATAAAATAACAAACCTGACTAGCTGTATATAAACTGACCCTTGCCAACCTCTTCCATCAACCATTCTTTCTCCCTCAAATTCGCACACCTCTTCCTGAGAACTTGCTGCCCTCCCTTGGCTGGGGTGCTCTTCCCCCAGATCTTATGTGATAGTGTCGTCATTCTGGTCCCCACTGTAAAGTCATCTCTTCAAAGAGGGCTTTCACCCTCTAAGTCCCTCTAGACATCACATTCTATTCCTTAGCACTAATTTTTTCATAATCCTTACCACTATCTGAAATTATTTTCATTGACTCTTATAGAATATAAAGCTTCAGCAGAACAGCAGGAATGCAGTTTATTGCATGCCCCTAACCTGATCCTACAACAGTGCTTTGCCAGTGTTAGGGTATGCAGTACATACTGAGGAATGAATGTCACATACCACTGATTGTTTGACACTTAAGCTCTCCTTGCTCTTTTAAGTGTGGACATGTGTTCTTTATCCAACTGCTGTTCTGGGAACCTGGAGCTCACAGTCCAAAGTGGGGAGACACACATGTAAACAGCCCAGGAGTAACAAACGAGTGAGCCATGGGCCAAATCTAAGCTTGTACGTGTATTTGGGTTGTGCAATGTTTGTTTTGAATGAACTAGCTGCTAACATTTTCAAATTGGAAATAGTCACATAAAAACCTAGACTTCCAGCTTCTTTTTAAGAATGAGAATCCATGAGATCGACAATCAATGCCTTGAGGCACCAGGTAGCCCCCAGGTTGAGGTGTGCACACTCCAGTGCATCACGGTTCCTTGTTCATTGAAACAAGTGTCGGTTTGCATTTATCAGTGTGTGGGCAAGGGTGTTTTTCTTGAGTAATGCTCCTTTTGCTCATTGATATTACCTGTTTGGCCCTTGCAGTAGAACCTTGACATCTCAGAAGACAGTCCAAGATTGACATGAACCCCTCTGTGAATGTGGCATCGTGTTCATAGGCTCCTAAGTCAGTTAAAAATCTGTGTTTCTGTGCCCAACATCAAGTTAACCACAGGATAATATAGTTATCCTTTTCAAACTGGAATTTCTCCCTTGAGTAGCTCTTGCATTGCTGGAGCACCTGTAGAAAAATTCCACAAGGGAATTGTTCCTGTTTTTATATAGAGCATATGACACATCAGACCTTTGTGCAGAGAACAAGGCATATCATAAATCACTCTACATTACAAAACTAATTTTCTGCTCAAAATGTATTATTTTCTTAGACCTTATCAAACAAACCGAGTTTTATTCATTTGATAATTACTGCAACATAGAGTACAATGAGCAACGCTATGTTGAAATTGATTAGCTAGGCTCTCAGTTCCTAGCAGACCACATTTTATGCACAAATACTAAGAATCAGCAAACCAACTTTTGACTTCCTCGAATATAGTTGAATTGCAAATGTTAAGTGTCTACTGTAATTGCATATAACCTGATGTGGGTTGTCATGATAGTGTCTACCTAGAGAAAATAAGGGTAGGGAAAGTCTTGATGTCTAGATATGTGGCAATTCCTACATAAAATTAATACCTGCTTGCAGGGTACTTGCTATTTAGTTGGAGGCAAACATTTAAAAACTAATAACTTTATTGATTTTTTTAGAAAGAGAGGACGGGAGAGATAGAAACATCCATCCACTGCCTCCTGCATGGCCCCTACTGGGGATGTGCCTGACCGGGACATCTCAGTCCATGGGGTGACTTTCAATATGGTGACTTTCAGTTCACTGAGCCACACCATCTGTGCAAACATTTTTTTTTAAATCCTCACCTGAGGACATTTTTTTATTCAGATAGAGTGGGAGGGAGGGAGAGAGAGAAACATCCACGCGAGAGAGACACATGAACCGGTTGCCTCCCGGACAACCCTGACCAGGGACTGGGAAAGAACCACAACCAAGGTGCGTGCCCTTGATAGGAATTGAATCTGCGACTCTTTGGTCCCAGGGCCGATGCTCTAAATACCTGAGGTTTTTTTTGGTTTTGTTTTTGTTTTTCTGTATTAATGTTTAGAGAGAGGAAGGGAGAGGGAGATAGAAACATTGATGAGGGAGGACATCGATTGGTCACCTCCTGCTTGCCCCCCTTCCCCCAGGGATCGGGCCCACAACCTGGGCATGTGCCCTGACTGGGAATCGAACCAGCGACCTCTTGGTGTATGGGCCGATGCTCAACCACTGAGCTACACCAGCCAGGCCCAAACAACATTTTAAAAAAACCAAATAGCATCCAAAGTAATCCTGAGGTTATTTTATGGCCAAACAGTACAATGAGTGCTAAGTTTAGAAGTAGAAGAGGGACCGCTGGGGGTGGGGGAGGTGTTGGAAGAGTTTTCATAGATTTCATATAGGGAGCACAGCCTGTGCCCAGGACGGCAAGGATTTAAAAGGACGAGAAAGAAGCTGTGTAACATTTAGGAAGGCAGGGTTTG